CCCTCCCTCCCAGCTGCTCTGCAACAACATCTTAGAATGTAAAAAATAATATTAATAAAATAAATAAATAGATAAAAATTTTAAAATTGTATATTAGTTGGGAATCAAATGACTTTTATCAACTCAGTTATACATTCCTATTTTGTTTCGAGTTTTTGTAAAAATGTATTAATTTTGCAATTGGGAAAAACAAGGTAACCCAAAATGGGCAAACTTTGCCAACCAATTTACAAGAAAAATCATGTCCTGGAGTATGATATTTTGTAAATAAATTTACCATATACTAATACAATAAAGTTAGTTCACACCTCTCCCCCAAACAAACCTGCTTATAATTTTCTGAGCCTAAAACTTAACCTGCTTCATATATAAACACATTTCATTTTTGCATACAATGAATTTTCCAGGAATTCAATTACCATGAAAATGGAGAGGAAATTGTGAAGAGCTNATACAATGAATTTTCCAGGAATTCAATTACCATGAAAATGGAGAGGAAATTGTGAAGAGCTAATGCCAACACTATGTGTGACATTTGAGTCACCAAGACAATAGACATATGTCAATCAGCATTTGAGGCCATGACACTGGCAGTGATTCTGAGTGTAGGTGTCTGCTTCTCCTCATGTCCACTGATGCAGACATCCCGGAGCAGGTCCTCTGCTTTTATACTTCCTTTTACATTTCAATTAGGGCAGTATATTTGATTTCTAAGAACTTCATATGTAGGTAGGTTATATTGCATATGAATCTCATGTCAGGGCAGTAAGGGGGGCGTTATAAAATGTTTGTTATACAAAGGACCCCTGGGCACTGGTAGGGCTGAGAGCCACTGACTTAGCTTCGGGGATCACAAGGCCACGTCTTCACGAGTTCTGGCCCCCAGGTCCTTGCTTAAACTCTCACAGCCGCAGCACAGGAAGTCTGGAGAAGGGCTCTGCTTGTCACAGCACACGACTCCAGATCTAACTTTGCATAGAACAGGATCTTCATTCTCTGGGTGGCGTGGGTGTGAGCAGGGACTTTCCCCCTCATAGACCAGAATGAAGAAGGCCATTTCTCAGCAGAAGGATGGAAGCAGAATTAGGATGAGCTACTTACAAAGGTCTTCGGTGGCAGCCGGGGCGAAGGCAGCCATGGACTCGTACAGATCCTCGTCACAGCCGGGGTTGAGGGAGCATTTCATGAGCAGGTCTGTAGAAAGGTGGGCCATGGACTCGTACACAGCGTCGGCCTCCTCGCCCTGCATCAGCTCCTCTTTAATGTGACTCTTCAGCATGTCCACGGTTTCCTGAAAGAGGACGGCGATTGTTTGTGTATATCTGTATTTCCCACCTGACTGAAAGCTCCTTGAGGCCAGGCTTCACACCATTTTTTCTTTGTTTTATGTTTTTTTGTTTTAATCTTCGTATCTTTCCCCAACACTAAGCACTGAGGAGCTCTGTGCTCAGGAGATACTAGTTAAATTTCCAGTGACCAGAGCATACAAGTTAAAAATTATTTTCTCATGAGCACCTGTTGTGTCACGTACAATGTGAGACTTTGCCTCTACATAACCTCATGTCATCCTTTCCACTACTGCTTGAGAAAGCTATAGTATTCCCTAGTTTACAAATGAGAAAAACAAAGCTCAGAAAAATTTAGAGTCTTGCTCAAGGGCTTGAAATCCTGGTTTTCGCTCTTTCTATTATACCTTTGTGGTTCCCCAAAAGGGAACAAATGACACAAGAGGGTGTGACCCAGACCAATTAGCCACACAGAAATTCAGATGGGCTCAATGTGGCTGCAGCTAAGGTGTTTTGCACGTATGTGCAGTCAGAGGCCCCTCAGCAGCTCCATACACCGGTCCCCCTTCCTTTCGCAGGCTTTTCCCAAGTGCCCGACAGTTTCCAGGAGTTCCTCCCTCGGTTTTATGTTCTACACGCCGAAGGGGAGAAACGGTCTTGGACGAGTGCCCTGACATCAGAAAGGGTGTCCCTCTGTCCTCCTGCCTCCAGGTGGTTACGAAGCCAGAGAGCTGACTTCTCTGAAACCTCTGCACAACTTTTCCTGGTGAGAAACTTCAGTGTTTCACAATCCTTATTTCAGCATCAACCCACAAAAATCCTCATTTTCATCATCATTAACCCAAGAGAGCTAATCTTTTATTGACACTCTGTGTTGTTTTCCTGGTGAGACTCGGGTGGACCAGGTGACAGCTCTCAAGTGTTGGAGACTCAAGGTCTTGGCATTTGATTTTGATGTGGTGGAAAAGAAAATGGGACAGTTCTTAGAGGTCACAAGCAACATGTGGGACAACCTTTCGGTAGCAATGCTAGAGATGAATTGGTTGAAGGCAACTACGGTCAGAGAGTAAAAATGATATGAACCAGACTAACTTCAGAGCAGACTGAAAGTGCATCTTTAAACTTCCCAGTTACAGAGAGCAGGAAAACAAGCCCTGGCTTTAGCACCAACCAGGTTCAAGTCCTGTCTCCACCCTTATTAGTTTGTAGCACTGGACACAATTACTTTGCCTTTTTAAGCCCTTTTCCTCGTGGTAAAAAGGGAATCACAATACTGTCAACTTCAAAGGATTGTGGTGAGGATTAAATAAGATAATGCATTTTCCAATCAAACAAATTCAATAAATGTTAGTTACTACTATGGACACAGAATGTCCTTAATAAAAACTAATGGCATAGAGATGAAATGCTACATTTTGTACCTTTGTGACTTTAAAGTAAAGCCGAGTAAAGCTTACCAATCTAAGGCTGTAAGCACCTTTTAGCCTCATTTAGTCAGTGATTCTCAAAACAAGACTCAGGGTATTCAATTCATTCATTCACTCGAAACACTGCACACCCCAAACATGGGGAAGGCTCCTCTGTGTGCCTCAGTGAGTCATTGCCGTGTAGATTTCCAATATAATGCTGAGAGTTCAATTTCTGGGGCAGTGTCAGGCTCACTCTTGTTTGGGCATGGAGAGCAAGACTGGATTGTATTAATTGCTCCTTTGAGGTCACAGCTCCCTATGAGAGGCTGAGCTACTCTCAGGTGCCCTCAGTAAGTCTGTGAAGGAGGAGGAAAACCAGAACGGGATGGATAACTGCCTCCAAGACAATGGAGGCAAGACTGGGGCATCAATACGATGTGGGCACGGCGTGGGATCAGACTCAGAGAAGGACTCAGAAGTCAGTGATTATGGAGGAGCTGGGGATCCAAAGCCAGATGAGCAAAAAAGCTGGGTGTATTTGCCTGCCTAAAGGTCAGACCCGGGCAGAGGGTCAGAAAGAAAGATAGGCTGTTGGCAGGAGGTGGGCCTCATAGTCGGTGGCCCTGATGCCTCCTCAGGTGCACAACTTTATTGTGGTCCTACTAAGGAAGGAACCCATCCTAACAGTTCACCTGGGAGTTTCCTGCCAAGGTGCCTCGGAGGTAGATGAGAAGGTGGGTGGGGGAGAGAGCTCAGCATCAGCCTTCTGCTGATTCACTCTATAAATGTCTCTCTAAATTCTTTGAGGGGGACCTCAGTGCTTACATACATTATTTCCTTTTATGCTCAAAGCAACTCTGTGAATAGAACTATTATCATCTTCCTTCTGCAGATTAGGAAACTGAGAAAGGAGATATGTAACTTGCCTAAAGTCATGTGGCTAACAAGTGTTGCTATAGGAACTTGGACCCAGGTCCCTGCAACTCCGGGGCTCATCTCTTAAACCCACACATACTTCCTACCGCCAGAAGAGGCACAGGAAGACATGCTAGAGATGAAATCCACCCATATTTTTGGTGAAAAGGCAGCCCTAGAACAAACACATAGGGCATTTCCAATCCCAGTGTCTCTCTCGCCTTGGCCTTACCACATACTCGTCGATGAACTGCCGCAGGTCCCTGAAGCCATGTTTCTCGGCGATGGTGTTGGGGTAGTGGCCGTGCTTGTTGGCCACACTGTACGCCTGGAGGGCTCCTGGGCAGGTGAGCAACAAGGCAGTAAGGTTCTTCAGTCCATACTTTGCAGCAAAATGCAACAAGGTGGGCAGCTCTTCATCCCTCTGATCTGAAAAATTGCCAAGGAAAACTTAACTGACAGATACAAATGAAGGCATAGGATGCCCTTGTTCATGGACATAAGGCTGCCATGCCTAGCATGGTATCCCGCAAGCACTCAATGAGTACTTTTTCGTTGATTAGCCTAACATTTGACAGCTTCCTTCTGGCACCACTAAAGATCATGTCCTCAGATGAGAGAGAAAATAATTCAATTAATTAGCAAATTTAATCATTAATGTCCTACCTTCTTTCTCCAAAAGTATTTAAAAACCCTGAGAATTAGTAGTAATTTGAAATGTGCTGTTTTTTTAAAGGCTTAAATAGCAGCCACAAAGTACAACAGGAATCATGTTTTGACCTCCTCTGCAAAGTTCAGAGCACTTTAAAACTACTGTTTTGTGCTGATTAAAAGAAAGAAGTCCATCGTCTTAGCTATTACTCCCAGTTCATAATAAGTATACCAATAATTCAGGGTATGTCACTTAGCCTTTCTGTAGGCTTTAGTTTTGAACTTGAAAATATCTCCAGACTATCTCGAAGGTACCTTGGAGGATTAACAAGACACTATTCAGTGAGGACCTTTTTTAGAAGAGATTTTGAATGGTATTAATGCACCTGAGCCCCAGGACGTGAGTTAACCCTCTGGCTGGTGAGAAACAAAGAACTGCTGAGAGTCCCCACAGCCCCTCCNGCTATAGGAACTTGGACCCAGGTCCCTGCAACTCCGGGGCTCATCTCTTAAACCCACACATACTTCCTACCGCCAGAAGAGGCACAGGAAGACATGCTAGAGATGAAATCCACCCATATTTTTGGTGAAAAGGCAGCCCTAGAACAAACACATAGGGCATTTCCAATCCCAGTGTCTCTCTCGCCTTGACCTTACCACATACTCGTCGATGAACTGCCGCAGGTCCCTGAAGCCATGTTTCTCGGCGATGGTGTTGGGGTAGTGGCCGTGCTTGTTGGCCACACTGTACGCCTGGAGGGCTCCTGGGCAGGTGAGCAACAAGGCAGTAAGGTTCTTCAGTCCATACTTTGCAGCAAAATGCAACAAGGTGGGCAGCTCTTCATCCCTCTGATCTGAAAAATTGCCAAGGAAAACTTAACTGACAGATACAAATGAAGGCATAGGATGCCCTTGTTCATGGACATAAGGCTGCCATGCCTAGCATGGTATCCCGCAAGCACTCAATGAGTACTTTTTCGTTGATTAGCCTAACATTTGACAGCTTCCTTCTGGCACCACTAAAGATCATGTCCTCAGATGAGAGAGAAAATAATTCAATTAATTAGCAAATTTAATCATTAATGTCCTACCTTCTTTCTCCAAAAGTATTTAAAAACCCTGAGAATTAGTAGTAATTCGAAATGTGCTGTTTTTTTAAAGGCTTAAATAGCAGCCACAAAGTACAACAGGAATCATGTTGAGGATGCCCTTGTTCATGGACATAAGGCTGCCATGCCTAGCATGGTATCCCGCAAGCACTCAATGAGTACTTTTTCGTTGATTAGCCTAACATTTGACAGCTTCCTTCTGGCACCACTAAAGATCATGTCCTCAGATGAGAGAGAAAATAATTCAATTAATTAGCAAATTTAATCATTAATGTCCTACCTTCTTTCTCCAAAAGTATTTAAAAACCCTGAGAATTAGTAGTAATTTGAAATGTGCTGTTTTTTTAAAGGCTTAAATAGCAGCCACAAAGTACAACAGGAATCATGTTTTGACCTCCTCTGCAAAGTTCAGAGCACTTTAAAACTACTGTTTTGTGCTGATTAAAAGAAAGAAGTCCATCGTCTTAGCTATTACTCCCAGTTCATAATAAGTATACCAATAATTCAGGGTATGTCACTTAGCCTTTCTGTAGGCTTTAGTTTTGAACTTGAAAATATCTCCAGACTATCTCGAAGGTACCTTGGAGGATTAACAAGACACTATTCAGTGAGGACCTTTTTTAGAAGAGATTTTGAATGGTATTAATGCACCTGAGCCCCAGGACGTGAGTTAACCCTCTGGCTGGTGAGAAACAAAGAACTGCTGAGAGTCCCCACAGCCCCTCCACCTACTGACATCTGAGTATAGCAAGTTAAACTCAACCAGAAGGCAGAAGTGTTTGTGTTGTGGAGTTGGGGGACAAATCTTTTATTTTTTATAAAAGTTGACTTCTAAGCCCAATAATTTTATATATGTATAGAAATATTTTATTTATATATGAATATAAATATACATATTTTTTTTTAATATGACAAAGCCAGCCTCCTATTCACCAGGATATAATCATTGGGATAAGGGGTCTGCAAATGTCCCCAAGAACCCACATTGTCAGGCTACAAAATACTTTCTCCTGAGCCCCAAGTTTAAGAGTAGAGAGAAGTAACACCCACTGGAAGTGATGCAAGAACATTCCACTGCAGGACAACAGGCAGAGGCGATAGGAAAGGGAATGTCCCCCAGATAAGGGCTTGAAGGTAATGTAGCCTCATCCTTATCATTCTTAGGCCACAAAAGGATGGAACACAGGCAGAGTAACCCAAGATTTGGGTTCCATTTGTGAAGTGCAACCACAGGGTGGAGGAAGAGTGACAGCCACAGAAGCACAACAGCAGGTGTCCTGTCCAGAGCCAGGCACCATCCCCGTGCAAGTGGTGCAGCTCTCAGCTCCCAGCATGTCACATGCACAAGAGCCGCACCTCCCTCATGGACAAATATTCATTTAGCACCTGCAATGAGCCCGCCACCCCGGAACAGCTCCAGCCCGTGCTGAGCTGACAGCCTAGCAAGACAGATACAGCTGAGGAGCACTAGGACAGAGGCACCCAAGGTGCTAGGGGAGCCCACAGCAGGTGGCCAAACCTACCGGAGATTTGGAAAAGACTTCCCAGAGACGTGCTATCTAAGCTGCTACAGGGAGGTGAAAAGAAGTTAGCCAGGTGAAAGGAAACCAAGACTGAGAGGAAGAAACTGTCTTCCCATGAGTCAAGGTAGCAGGAGACAGGTGAAAGAAGTTCCTGCCCTCCATGGGCTTGCAGAGGGAGAGAACATACCTTGGGATACAAAGTGGAGTGGGGGGGAAAGGGGAAAGGGGGAGGGAGGTTGGGGATAATTGGGTGGGAGATACAGGGTACAATCGCAATTTGTGGTAATTGGCATGCTGCCAGTATGGATCTGGCCTGCACATCTTGGGCACGAGAGGTGGCAATCAGCTTCATATCTCATGAATATTCATAATAAAAAAAAAAGAAGTTCCTACCTTCCATAGAGCAGAGCGTAGAAGCCAAGAGGGAATCTGGAGAGAGATAAGGACAGAAATGCAGCAGAGGCCCCTTGGGAAGGGCTGGTAAGCAGGTTAAGAAGTTTGGATTTTATCTAATAGGTAAGTGGGAACCACACATGTTTTGAGAAGGGGTAAAGTATTCAGATTTGCAATTTAGAAGAATCTATATCCACCCAGTGAAGACTGAGTACTTAGGATGGAGCACAGAGCAGGGACCAGCAGAAGGTCCGTGCATGGGACGACGGGATGCTGGAACCAGCAGGCTGGGATCAGCCCGTGTTTGGCTCCCTGAGATTTGACTGTTAACTTACTTGTCATCATATCTTCTTCTTCCAGCTGGTTGATGCCAAAGAGGTGCAGTCCACTTGCAGGGATGTTGTTCTTCAGGGACTCGGTTAGCAGTTTATCAAGGGTCTCTGTGTTGTAGGGCACAATTTTAAAGGCCTGAATACAAAAGCAAAGACGGTCAGATTTTAAATCCAGCTATCTCCCACCCGGCAGATTCAAGGCTGATAAACCATGAGCAAAAACTACATGCCCAGGAAGCTCAGGTTTCCCTTCAACAGCCTTACCTGACACATGAATTCCACAGGATTCGCAGCATTGGACAATAGGTTCCCAATTTCTTCCATGTCAGTATAATAGCTGACGATGGTTTCACATACCACCAAGTCCCCAGAATAGATCTTCAGAGAAACATTCCCAGATGAAAGGTCTGAACAGAAGAAAAGACACCATAAAAATGCCCAGGAAGAACAAGGGTCCAGGAAAAGTGTTTGTGGATACATACGCTTCACCTGAATGGTGAAGAAACTAACTGAAGGCTGGAGGGGAAGCGAGGGTGCAAGTGGAAGGTCAGCAGATGGCACATGGGGGGCTCAGAGACCCCCGTCTATTCTCACTGTGTCTGCAATTTAATTTTCAAAGGATTTTCATCTGTTTTGCTCACTACTATAGGCACAGTGCCTCAATGAACCAGAAGGAAAATTTTGGTTTAAAATGTGGGTTTATAGAAAGGCTAGTGGTCACCAAATGGGGGAAGGATCCTGGGAGGTGAAACTGTGTTTCTGCCACACTGGGCCAGCTGAACTGGTTCCCTCGAACCGCTGCTGTCATTACTAGGTGCTCTCCCTGGGGCGGAATTCTATACCACAGTAAGGGGTTTCGAGGGTGAAAGAAAAAAATTAAAAATACACCAACCACAAAGATTCAATTCACAAAAGAGGAAATGCAACAAATAGAGAACATGGAAAAATATCCAACCTCACTAGTAAAGAAATGCAAATTAAAACAGTGGACTAATTTTAAAAACATATCAAATTAGCCAAAATATTTAAAATGATAATGCCTAGTGCTGGTGATGTTACAGCAAAGCAGCTTGATAGTGGGGATAGCTCAGGAAGCAGTTAAGCACGTTCTGTGTCATCATGTCAACATGGGGCCACTTACTGGGAGCCTTCACGGAAACGGTGTACTCATTCTCCAGCTGGGCTTCCACCCTTATCGAGGGAGAATCCTTGGGAGAAAACTCTGCTTCCGTTGTCACCCTCTCATCCAACTTACATCTCACAATAATATAGACAGTGGTTTCTGCCTGGAATGAAAGATCAGACTTTGTCCCGTTTCTTTCCTGCATCCCCCAAGGGTGCTGGGCCAGAGGGTCCTGGGCTCCCTCAGCCCCAGCTCTCTGCAGTGAGCATGCTCCTGAGGAGGGTGGGCTGGGCAGTTCCACTATCTGCTCCCTGTCCCAATGAGACAAGTTACAGAAACTGAGAG